TCATATAAATATACGTGTTCATGCGACCATCGCAAACGAACATTTCGCCGACACCATTAGCAGCCATGCAGCCCCAGAGCATAATGCTGCCCTCTCCATGCTTAACAGTGGGTACCAGGCAATCTGGATGATATTCTTCCCAAACCCGTCGCCTCACGAACCTCCCACCAGGTGTTCCAATCATCTGTAGAAAAGAAAAAATTCTACGAGAGGGGTATAATGAAGTTGGCATCTCGTTGGCAACAAGTCTACGATCAAAACGGAGCATATTTGACTTAAACCGGACAATCGTACATATTTTGAAAAATCAATAGAAAAACCGATCAAACTTTTTACTTGACTAGTACTATTTCTTAGCCGTCAGAATAATATTAAGTTCAGTTGGAATTTTATTCTTCGAGTACTTAACTTATTATTGTTACCAGTTGGCGGCCGCGGTAGCTCAGTGATTACATATCACGTTATAAGATGTTTTTATATAAGAATTACTTTTCAGCTTTGAAATTAACTCATAAAGCTCTTATAATATTGATAACTGCAAGAAATAAGTCTAGATTTCGAAATAATAAACAACTTTTAGTGAAAATCGCACCTAAATGTAGGCAAGATTTTTGTGTAATTCTGCGTTTATCTTCTTCACAAATATAAAACCGTTGCCTACATTTAAGATTATAAATTCAAAATATGTTACTCGTTTAAAAAATTCTTTTCTCTTATGTACTTGATTTAGCTAAAGACTTATCTTCATTATATGAAAAAAATCAAAGGAAACACATGCATATCATGTAATCGCCTTTTTATCTGAAAAAAAGATGTTTTTACGATTAAATAGCGATAGCAGTGGGTACCAGGCAATCTGGATGATATTCTTCCCTAACCCGTCGCCTCACGAACCTCCCACCAGGTGTTCCAATCATCTGTAGAAAAGAAAAAATTATGTTTTCATAAGATTTGTATTATGTCTTCAAAACTGCTCTAGGGTAAGAAGCCATGGCTGCTAATACTTTAAGACGATCTTAACTAAGCTTAGCCCAAAGTTTGATTCATCAGGCCACAGAACATTCGACCAACCTTCTTACGTGAAATGTTGTTATCGGCGCGCCCATGCCAAACGATTTTTCTTATTATTTTCTGAGCGCCACGGCTTTTTTCGGGCTTTACATCCTTTTAAACCTGCTTCCAGAAGTCTTCTTCTAGCCGTTGGAGCACCAACTGGCTTACTAAATTCATCCGAAAAGGTAGCTGCAAGGGCAGAAGGAGTTTTTTTGCGATCCTTGAGAGACTCGCGTATAAGTATTCGGTCTTCTCGTTTACTGGTTAGACATTTTCTTCCACTTTTTGAGTTATTATTGTGGGATTTCATCTCCACAAATCGTCTGATAGGACATTGGACCGCGCACCGCGAACATCCCACCAAATTGGCAATCTCAACCTGAGACTTACCATCTTCACTTAGAACTTGAATTTTAACTCTATCATCGTAACTAATTTCACTTTTTTAGGCATTTCGGTAAATGTGAACTGTGTCTATAAGATTGGTAACTTTTCACTAAATGTTATTTACACTTTCACTTTCAAATTTTGAATGCGTAAATATTTTATGAATTTCTTAAAAATTACAATTTTTAGGTTTAGCTGACCCAGAGTGCTATGACTTTCAATATTACCCAATTTATTCGTTTCATGTACAGTTAAGCACTCATGTAAGACATTTACAGAAAGAAGTGGTAACTTCGATAGCCACATTTGAGAATACTTGTATTTTAGTGCAGTGCCTAATACTTTTGGCCAAGGCTGTATATTCGTAAGTCTAAGTGAATAGAATGGATTTTCCAAATTTTAAATTTCACAGTTTGGTCACCCAGACTTTGAGGTGCTGGTCTCAGAAGCTGTGTTAAATAAATATGTATATCTCGAAAATTTTTTGTAAATATAAACAAAATGATTTTAATAAATCAAGTTTCCAAATGGAGTTTATCTTAAATAAATATTCAATATTTTTGGTTTAAAAAATTTGAAAATAGTGAGCAAAATAAAAAAAGATACTTGGAATTTGTGTTTTCATGAGAGTTTTGGTGTTGCTGACATGAAATCCGATGATAATTTTAAAATATTTGAAATGTTTAGTACTAGAAGCAGCACGAAAGTAGCACAGCAGTAATTTGTGGTTCAGAAATGTTTGGATTATGATTGACAAATACTCGCTGACACCCCGAAATAAATATAAAATTCTTTCGGTTTTTATTTAAGAGATGGCGTTATTGTCCATAGTATTGGATTCAAAAAGAAGCTCGATGTTTGGATGCCACACTAACTAACGCAAAAAACATGATGGACCGAATTTCCATCTGCGAACCACTGCTGAGCACACAACAAAATCGACCCGTTTCTGAAGCGGATTGTGACTGGGGATGAAAACTGGGTCACTTACGACAACATCGAGCGCAAACGGTCGTGGTCAAAGCTCGAGGAAGCGGCCAGACAGTGGCCAAGACCGGATTGACGGCCAGGAAGGTTTTTCTGTATGTTTGGTGGGATTGGCAAGGAATTATCTACTACAAGCTGCTCCTAAATGGCCAAACGCTCAATTCGGACCTCTACTGCCAACAAATGGACTGCTTAAAGGCAGCACTCATCCAGAAGAGGGCATCTTTAGTCAACAGAGGCCGAATTGTGCTCCCTCAGGACAACGCCAGGCCACACTCGTCTTTGGTGACGCGCCAGAAGGTTCAAGAGCTCCAGGAGCTTGGATGGGAGGTCCTAATGTACCCACCTTATATTCCGGACCTGGCACCAAGTGATTTCTATATTTTCCTGTACATGGCGAATAACCGTAATGGTGAGAAGTTGGCCGCAAGACAGGCCTGTGAAAATTGGCTCTGCGAATTTTTTTGCCAAAAGGGACGCAGCCTTCTACGAGAGGGGTATAATGAAGTTGGCATCTCGTTGGCAACAAGTCTACGATCAAAACGGAGCATATTTGACTTAAACCGGACAATCGTACATATATTGAAAAATCAATAGAAAATCCGCACAAACTTTTTACTTGACTAGTACTATTTCTTAGCCGCCAGAATAATATTAAGTTCAGTTGGAATTTTATTCTTCGAGTACTTGACTTATTATTGTTACCAGTTGGCGGCCACGGTAGTCGAGTGATTAGACATTCGGAAGGCTCAGGTTCCTGGTATCATGTAATAAGATGTTTTATGTTAGAATTACTTTTTAGCTTTGAAATTAACTCATAAAGCTCTTATAATATTGATAACTGCAAGAAATAAGTTTAGATTTCGAAATATCTCCCTTCCGCTTTTATGTCTTATGAATTTCGCGGCTATGTACAAAGCGCTACAGAGCTCGTATCTGGCAACACTATACATAATTTAAAAAGTACTGGATATTGCGTTCAACAGTTATAGACGTGTAAACATGGAGCTCACTAACGCCGAAATTCGCGCTATTTTAAAGTTTTCCTTAGTTAAAGGCAAATCCGTTAGAGAAACGTTCCGTGAGATAAATGGTGTTTTGGGGGATGGTACTCTATCACTTCGAACCGCGGAGGAATGGTTTCGACGATTCAGAACCGGTGAAAACGACACCATGGATAAGCCAGCCGGCGGAAGACCTATGACGACAAATACCGATCGAATCATGGAATACATCGAGTTAGACCGGCATATGGCATCTCGTGACATCGCCCAGGAGATGGGAGTTAGTCACCAAACCATTTTGAACCATCTGCAGAAGGCTGGATACAAAAAAAAAGTTTGATGTTTGGTGCCGCATAATTTGACGCAAAAAAACCTTCTTGACCGAATCAACGCCTGCGATATGCTGCTGAAACGGAACGAACTCGACCCATTCTTGAAGCGGAAGGTGACTGGCGCCGAAAAATGGATCACATACGACAATATCGAGCGAAAACAGTCGTGGTCCAAGTCCGGTGAATCGTCCCAAACAGTGGCCAAGCCGGGATTGACGGCCAGGAAGGTTTTGCTGTGTGTTCGGTGGGATTGGAAGGGAATCATCCACTATGAGCTGCTGCCATATGGCCAGCCGCTTAATTCTACCATATAATGCGAACAACTGGACCGCTTGAAGCAGGCGATCGACCAGAAGCGTCCAGAATTGGCCAACAGGAAGGGTCAGAAGTGATTACCACCTGTTCCTGTCCATGGCGAATGCCCTTGGTGGTGTGAAGTAGAATTCAAAAGAGGCTTGTGAAAAGTGGCTGTCCGAATTCTTCGCAAATCAGGAGGGGGGCTTCTACGAGGAATGTTTTATGAAGTTGCCGTCTAGATGGAAACCTATCATCGAACAAAACGGCGCATGTTTTAACTAAATCCGATCACTGTATCACTTTTTATAAAGCATTGAATGAAGAGCAAAAAAGCGGAAGGGAGATATTTGACAACCTTTAATAAGCAACTTTTTCTGAATATCGCACCTAAATGTAGGCAAAATATTTTGTAATTCTGCGTTTATCTTCTTCACAAATATAAAGCAGTTGCCTACATTTAAGATTATAAATTCAAAATATGGTACTCGCTTATAACATTATTTTCTAACATGTATTTGATTTTGCTGAAGACTTATCTTCATTAGACGTAAAAAATCAAAGAAAACAAATTCATATCATATAATCGCCTTTTTATCTGAAAAAAAGATGTTTTTACGATTAAATAGCGATAGTAGTTAGCGATGCAATTGTACGTCAGTGCAGAAAAGTAAAAAAACAAAAAATCATGTAAAAATACTTTCAACTTTTTCTCTCCAAAGAATAGCAGCCACATGCATATCTATGTATAAACCTCTGTAAAAAATAGTAAAGCTATTTAACAGCAAGCTAAAAAATTATGCCAGTAAATGTTTTGCATATGCTTCTCATGTATTCGATCCCAAATCGTACTAGCACAGATATATAAATTCCCTTTTATTTTTTCAACTCCACCCTTTCTACAAATATTCCCTGCTATTCACACATCGTTCTACATTCACAGATGAATCCATACTCTCCGAGGATCCCACACCAGCAGAGACTACACATCATTCAAGTGGCGGCTTAAGTGCCAGTGCTAGTGGTTCCAACGGCGTGGTGGGCGTGGGTGCAGGCGCCAGCATTGACGCGCATGGACATGAGAAACAGCAATCGACGCTACTCATATTGGCCGCGGTTGTGGCGATAGGAGCGGTCATTGTAACGTCAATTATCGTGGCGGGTATAGTGGTCGTCTGTAGGCATCGACCGCGACCTCCTGAACCGCAGGATGTGCGCAAAAGTATGCGGTAAGTATAATTACGAGTTTGTAGTTATTGTTACATTACATTTTAATATAATATATTAGATTCATTTACTAAAAAAAAATTGCACAGTGATGCCGCTATCATTAAATTAAGAGTATACGTAAAAGATAATCTATTGACTATTTATTTTAGTTAAAGTTTTATATTACTTTTAATTTTAATTTTAATTTTAATTTTAATTTTAATTTTAATTTTAATTTTAATTTTAATTTTAATTTTAATTTTAATTTTAATTTTAATTTTAATTTTAATTTTAATTTTAATTTTAATTTTAATTTTAATTTTAATTTTAATTTTAATTTTAATTTTCATTTTCATTTTCATTTTCATTTTCATTTTCATTTTAATTTTAACCTTTGGAAAGTGTTCGACTCTGAACTCTTAAGAAAAATTTGTTTAATTTTATATCCGCTCATTACTAACATTCTGTACTCAGTCATTTCTCATTGCATTAAGCACTACGAAAACTGGTGCTACGGTGCGTATGAGCGACTTAAAATGTTTTCCTTTGAATTTTATTCCCTCAAATACGCACATATTTATGGGCATAAGTGCCTTTATTGAGAACTTAGAAGTTATAAATGCTGAAAAATTTAAAGAAGAATTCAAAAGAAAACACTCGACCCTGATAACACCTCTTCGTTTACATGGCCTTGGCCTGATACTGTGCGACGCACATAAGCGTCGAGAAAGCCGTAAATTTGCTCACTAAATAATTTTCGCATAATTTTCATGCAAATGGAAACTCCTTCTAAGACTTTGCTTACACCATAACTTGTAATTAACGTTTTCCACTACACATACATACACATGCAAACACCTAGACATCTGTGGCAAGCGAACCGCAGGCCTCTGCACCCTCTCCACAGTACTCAGTTGTCCAACTTCGGCAGACTTAGTTGACCACTGCGTATACGGTTAGTTATTTGCATATTCCGCCCACCGGCAGCTACAACCAGGTGCACATCTGAGGTATGGTTAATTTAATTTTTCATCAGCCATGCTAAACATTCGTGATTTTCTCTTCTTTTACTCTTTCACTTGTTGTTTTATTGTGCATAGAGCATGAAAGCAAATTTATCAAACAGCAAACCGAACAGTTTGAGAAAAAAAAGATTTACCACTCGCTAAATAAAAAAAAACAAACAGACCGTTCACTGTCGGCAACCGTCGAGCCGTCGCACCACAGCGCTTTGGAAAAAAAAATTATTTATTTGCTATGTATGCTTGCTTATGGTACGTCCACACCGTTGACTCAAGAAGCAGAGTCGCGGTTGCGAAGCGCGTGATGATGGGCGTGAGGAGAGTGTGGTAGGCATTACCATTTGGAGCGAGAGTTTTGCGTAAATTTGCGTTTTTGAATGGAGTTGATGACTCGGCCGACGAAACGCCCATACTCGGCCCCTGGCACGCGGTTGGTGAAGCTGGCTGCAATTATATTAACGCAAAGTTTGTTGCTTAAGTGAATGCTACTAATTACTTATAGTTCAGATGTTTGCTGGCGGAGTTCTCAAACAGAGCGAAAGGGAGAGCGCGAGTAGTAGCTGCGTTTGCATGAGCTTGGTCTCTTACTTGAGAACGCAGGAAAGGTTAAAGGGGTGTCAGGAATTACAGTTGTACCAGTGTCGTTGATAAACAGTGGTAAATGCCGGCTGAGTTTGTTGGTATAGTAAACTTCTCACTGCCTGAGTAGCAGGAGTAATTAGCGTTTCTTTGCAATTCATGTTTAACTTTTTAATGTTTAATGTCAACTTTTTTTTGCAATACATATATGAACAAATATGTAATCCAACTGCGTATTTGCGGGATTTGTGTTCTAGATTTAAGTTTAAAATTACAGGTGAATATCATATAATTCTAAATTCCTATAGCGAATTTTCAGAAACGAATGAATGAACTCTTCGCGAAGTTTGATTCTAACACAGTTAATTTTTAATTGCAGTCTTAAGAAATTTGAGTGATGTTGAGCGAATTAAATTTAATTGAAAAATTCTATAATTAAAAAAAAGTGGAAAAATTAGATACGTATGGGTATTCGGTTGTTTTTAACGTCTCAAGTATATAAATACCAAAAGCATCAGAGATAGAGCCCGTGTATACCGATCAGCTCAGAATGACGACTTAAGTTGATTTTGCCAATTGCCTTTGTACGTCTGTTTCTGTGCAAACTTGTCCAACGGGTTTTGAGATATTTCAATACATATAAATTGACACTTGTCGAAATCGACCACATCGGACTACTATAGCTTATATGACCAATTTTTTCACAAAAGAATCTAAGTGCGAGTAATTTTGATATTCGGCACTCATACACATTATGAATTAAAAATTTATGCCGAACATATCATAAAGCGCCCATACACCGATATTTTCAGATATAAGGTTTTTGACCACAATCCAACCATAAGAAATCCACAATTGTGGAATTTGATATTCTACGCACGTAAAGGTTGGTTTTTTAAGAGCTCAAGGAAAGTTTTTCAAAAAAAAAACACACACATGCAATTCAGAAAAACGCATGTGATCTTTATTTGAATCAATAATACGGTCCATATAATTTAATAATTGAAGATTATTTCATGCAAATGTTGGCCGTAACTGCGCCTACAATGGTCCATCCGCTCAGTCCAATTTTGGCATACTCTTTCCAACATTTCGGCCGGTATCCCACTAGTAAATACTTCAACGTTGTCCTCCAATGCATCAATTGAAGCGGGCTTGTCTGTATAGACATCAGATTTAACATAACCTCCCAAATCCGTATTTTTCTGAGTCCTGGTAAGACAATCTATGGTTTTGTGATCTGTCTTGTTTGAAATTTAAAAAGCCATAAATTTAATTACGTACATAGTGAATGCTTCACCTTTTGTTGTGTTTTAAATTTTGTACTGCCGAATGCTTGTAAAATTCGAAAAAATCAAAACTATAATATTTTCCATATTAAAAGCATTTTGAGTTTCTTATTTTAAACGTTCTACATATACAGAATATTCACTGATAAAAACATTCCACACTACCACCTGCTCAACGCTTGAAGGCCAAAGCAATATTCTATAAATATCAAAGTGATTTTATCTACTTTATCCTTCACAATTATTGCTTGTGTACGGGTAAAGAGAGCAAAACTCCAATGTAGTTAAAGCACCGCATCTCAACAAACAAAAACAAAAGCGAACAAAAAAAAAATACAGAAAATCACTCGCACTGACACCCAACAGCAGGGGCTGTACTTGTAGCGTGAGCCAGGCATTAAATGGCTAATTACTTTTTGATGCAAACATTCAAGTTTTTCTTTACTTTTTCAGCTTTCTCTGCATTATTTTTCCATTTTTATTGCTTTATTTCTTCTGCATCAATTAACCAATTTACTAGGTTATAGTGTTGTGTTTCAGCTATTGAATAGTTTTATGTGCATACATATATATACACATATATATATATATATAAATATGTATAGAGTGTATGTGTGAATTTCAATTAACTTAATCAATCTACATCAATACTAAATTGGTTATAGTTTTGTATGCTGGTGCAACTTTTCTTACTCAAATAGGCTTCAGCTTAAGGCAGAGTAGTACAAAAAGAAGGCATACTTATAGGCGCATAGTGAATTTGCTGTAGGAAGTGAAGTGATGTGTATGCACAGCATACTGAGAATAAAATCAGTTAATTTCATACTCGCCTCACATTCGTTTGCTAGTGAAGAAGACGAAAATGAGAAAAGGAAACTGAAACAAAAAATCGAAAAAAAATTAAATAAATAAAATAAATTAAAATCATTGAAGGAGAAACATTGTAATATTATATTTTTATTCTATATACTCCGAACTACCTTTTGAATGAAACTAATGGCTTGCAGTTAATATATTTGACGCTACCGCTGAAGCGATTTTCGGCCGAGCTCTTCCCCCAATTTGTGATTTTTCGTCTTCAAGATTTTTCCAACAAATGGAGGGTGCAACAGTTCATACTCAGCCGCCGCCAAACAGCTGGTGGGTTTTTATGAGGAGCTTATGATTTTCATGTCAGATATATAATCGGAGGTGATGATATTCCCTGCCGAGTGGCGACCGCAATTAAAAAATTTAACTAAATTTTTTATTTAAATTAATTTTCTATAACTTTTTGGATGTTTGTACGATACCAGGATTTGAACCCTAATCTTCCGATTGGCAGTACGCAATGCCAACCATTGGGCTACCTTGGCCAGCAGTCAGCTTTTTATGTGTATACAAAATATGCTGCTCTATGAAGCTCTCTAGTCTAACACTCCGGTGCTTGCTCCTATCCACTGGCTTATCTACTGCCCGGTAATTAATTTAATTGGACTCATCAAAAGCTTGGAAAAACGCATCAATTTAGATAGAAATCTCACTTGAGCGGTTACAAACACAAACACACACACATACACACAAACACAACATACAGCAGGAGTCGAGAGTCAGCCGTGACTGTGGCATTGAGTTGCTGTCGCACGTTTTCTATTTACGTTCTCCACCACCCTTAACCGATTTGCTCCCAACTTCTATTGAGACAAATCCTTACTTAACTCTACACCTAAACTGTCGAGCAGCAGGTGTACTGGCTGCATTGTGGCAATGACGGGATCTTTAAAGGTGCCAAAGCTGATGTGGCAGTGTCACACGAGAAGTATTTATTTATATAGTTAAATGTGCGCTCTGTTCATGTGCGAGCATATCTATATGCAAATACATATATATTGTGTGGCTTCCTTTGGTGTCGATGAAGTACCTGGTTGGCGTACCGAGTTAACGGTGTGAAGAAGAATAACAACACCTTGTTTTAGCTGAAATTAACTTTAAATTAAGCTAATCACAACACAACACGCATAGCATACCAGAGCATAGCGACATAAAGCTTTGGCAGTATTGGAGAGAAGAATAAGAAGAAGAAGCACCAACTTTGCAACAACAGCTAACTGATGACGCTGATGATGAGTGAATGTGTGGCTGATAGAACGA